TGATAAGATGAGAAGTATAATATGATTGCTGGGAATGATTATAATATTAAATTATGTCGTTAACTATGGTGCATTTCTCAGAAGTACTGACAAAGTATACAAAATGTAATAAACGAAATGACTGCGGTAACAAATTTTATCGTTGGTTCGGTCCTCAAAAAAATTAACAAGCATGATACAGTTTGTGATGTTTGATAAAAAGAACTAACGGTAGCACGTGTTTCCAGCTGATGAAGACAGTTTGCATGACAACGAGCACCGAGCAGTTCATCCGGATTGCTGGCTACTAATAACGATAATAGCAAAATAAGCAGGAGAGGAATGACCAGAACTTGAACATTAACTGGTGCTGATAAGAGCATCCCTGAAAACACATTAGTATAAACATACACACTAAAAATATCCTAAGAAGCCGAAATGCAGGAACACGCATAAAATCAAAAAAATCTCGCAAAAGGTTCAACGATCAGCGTATGAGATGTGTCTGGTAAAAGTTCTTTACACATCACTACTGTGGCTTAAAAGTGATAACGTTCAGGCAAGACCTAGGGTTCCTCAATACACACCTAGGGTTCCTCAAAACGGCTAAAGCCCTGAGGAATGATTCTTGTCGGAAAACCACTAAGCTGATAATTTTTCCATGAGACGAAGCGAACGCCAGGACTGCCAACAGCCTGACCACCAAGCAATGCAGCAATGATCAAAATAAGAGTAGAAAAAGTTGTCAGAAGTAGAAAAGGAAATAAAAACTCATACTGCTGGATGAGGTGCTTTTCAAAATGCTTCGAGTATTCAGTATTGCTATCAGCGTATGGTGGTATAATTGATAAGGTTCGTTTAGGACAATGTATAGGCACTGCTCATTCTAACTGATATAACTTGGGTCAAATATAGCATAAATAGCAGATACTGGAGGTGACGGACGAGTGGGGGCGAATGAGGCTGAAGGTCCCAATACAACCGCACTGACTTTGCAGTGACATTGTGATCGATGTTGCTGGCATAGATTGAAAACAGGAGTATAAGTTATTGATGTGATAATTGAAACACGCTTTGATGGGCACCAGGTGAAGCTCTGTGGTATAGAGGCATACCCTGCCGTGCCTAATGTTGCGTAAAAATAGTCAAAACCTCTCGTCATTCAACCTTGGCGTGTTACGAAACATGGAAACTTCCTGGTATTTGATTGCCTATAATGGTACTTGAGGCTCTTCTATTAAGCAAAGAGATAGCGATGCAGCCTCCGAAGCCTGAACCCACATCTATATTAGAATGTACTTGCATAATACAGCGGAAACCAGATTCCAGCGAGAAAATGATTCGTCGTAATACAAGGAGAATGCTTGGGACCGGAAGGAGGGGCATCGCAGAGGCAATGTCCGCCTCGGTCTCTTCCCTTTCTGTGACCACAAACCAGCTGACTCCGCCTTCGAGGAAATATGCAGCATTTTCAGGCATTCAGAAACAATTGCTTTCCCCGACCCCTGCCGGACGGATAAGGAGAGGTTAGATTGGTCAGCACCGGAGGAGTACAGACTAAGTTGGGAGGGCAATGCAGGAATGTTGGGAGTGGCACAGCGCTGAAGTTAGCTGTCACTTCGATACGCTACTAATTAAGGCAATTGACCCTCAACAGCTGTCAGTTTGCGCACTCCTCACATGGACAAGCTCAAATTTCGTGATGGCATCTCAAAGTGACTTGCAGGTGGGCAGTCACTGCCATCTTCCTACACAATATGCATGGTGGCTGCTTTGTTCTCGAAAATCAAAAATTCGCCCGATCATTTTTGCAAATCAAACATTTTTTGAGCCATTTTAAGAAATGGAAGTCTTGATTGATAGCAGCCTAGCCGTAATTTCGAGATGCCCTTATTACTGCACAGTTTGTCGATGCGTGTATGCGCTTGAATTTTTGTCACCTATATTCAACTCAGCAATCCCAGAAGCTGGAAAGTTTGAATTTCTTAGGGATTTTTCTCAGTTCACTTGCCATCCGAACATCAATGGACTTAAAGGATTCATGCAGATTTTTCGGAGGGAAAGCAGTTTCAAGAACCGGACAAGATAGAAAGCAGAAATTTCGCAGGGATGCTTTATATCCTTGCGTGATCTACCAATTCATTTTTAATGAATGTCTAAGTCTTCTCTATAAATACGTCAAATTTGAGATTCGTCGTTGCTGGCAAAACACCAACTCGAGAACTAAGTTGATTGTTGCTTCCTCATTATGTGGGGATATTAAATGCTCAGACGCAAACAGATGTCGGCGTAAAATAAGTTTTAATGTTTGCCTATATCGCGCGTTCGGACACTCCAAAAATATTGTTAACGAAAAGCGATTTAAGCAATCAGCTGTGTTAGGAAGTTTAAACTTTACGATGGTATCCTACTTTCAAATGCGACCGAAATATTTCATATTCAGTTTTAAAACACACCTAGTTATGCGTTTTTGCCGTGCAGCGCTAGAGCGCTGCAACAGGCAGCAAAAACGCATATT